CATCTGACATCTACAGTGTAAGGAGGCAACCTTATACAAACCTCACCCATACTAAAATAGTGTGTTGGATGAAAGGTATAGCCCCTCTTTAATTGCTCGGGGTATCGAGTATTTGCTTTATTAGTATAAAAAATTTAGTGGGGTGACGATATAGTATTTGCTTTATTAGTATCCACTTTGCTCCATAGGGACTTTATTAGTATCCACTTTACTCCATATTGGGGCTTTAGGTGCATTTGCTTTGCATTCGCACTCGCACCAACCCACAAACACCTTAAAAAAAAACTAACTCTCAAATTATTCGGAAAAAGGTAGGGCTTGTCTTTTTCACTGAATTATCCAAAAAAAAAAAAAAGAACCCAAAAGAATTCTTTTGACCTCAAATTGTATAGACTGTCGAATCACCATTAAATGGCTGTTTCTAACTAGCCATGAAATGGATGAGATGTGATTATCGTGTCCAAAGGAAATATTTTCTATTTTGCCTATTCATTTGACAAGAGGACATTTATCCCAAGTTTGGGTCGAAACAAGTGCCCTAGGCCCAAAAACTTGGGGAGGGCGGAGCAATGTAGCCGTTAGGATAGACTTGTTCCCCAGAAATCGTTTTAAAACACAGTAATCCGAATCGGAATTGCCAATTTAGTTCGGGAATCAGTCAGGCTGATCTGGATCCTATAAAATATCAGGAATCGGTTGGTTCCCCCATGAACTGGCCGGTCTGAATGTTAAAGAACCGATACAAATCGGCTCTACCTTTTGTAATAATTACTATTATTATTATTTTAATGTTTTAGTCACTGAACTGGCAGGTTCGTTCTGGTTTTGGTTCGTTCTCTGACAGAATTGACCCCACTTAAATTTTTAATTTATTTGAAATTTCTATGTCAGTAGATTGGATCGCCAATCCTCCAAATATAATCATAAAATCTAGAGGGGTGATACGTGTCACTGATCCATTTTTTAAAGGAAAAAGATTATATAAGGTTGCAACCGTATAATGTAGAGCTACAGATGCACCTCAAAAATCCATCGGAAAAGGTAGTTTTAATGTTGAAAAAACCTTTGATTGATCATCTCGATATCGAGATATATGACTATAAAAAATAAAAAGATTTTAAATCTAAGAAATAGTGCATTTTACAATATATTATCTGCACCGTCCATTTTCAAGATTCTCATATGTTTATAGATCTACTTGATTTTAACCATTTTTTAAATTTAAAATTTTATAATTAGATATAAAAATAGATTTTGAGATAATCCTAAGAATATTTTATATCAAAATTATATATCATGATAAAATTTGAAGGCGCACCTTACCTCTACAGCTACGGATGCATTCGTATGCCAACTACACCCTTTTTTAAAACCTTGGTAGAAACTGAGAGAGAGCCAATCCTCCTAATAGAATCAGATATCTAGAGGGGTGATCTGGTTGAGCGATCCATTATTTAAATCCTTGGTGGAAACTGTGAGTGAGAGAGGGAGAGAGAGAGAGAGAGGCTATTGTAGGTAGGACGAAGTAGAAACGTAATTTGATGCATGA